ACCCAGGATCCCTGAAACTTTTAATTCTTGAAGTAGAAGTCATCTATGAGGTCACCAGGGTAGCTATATGCTCAGACAACAAAGCCTGTTTCTTCTTCTTTAACATCTGGACCATGCCAGCCCCTGCTAGGTCTTCTCTCACCATCTACATTTAAAGCTCCTTAAAACCAAGAATCTTTTCAAATAGCTTTATCTCCAGGACAATGCCAGGTACATACTAAGTCATTAATATATATTTATTGATTTACTGATTGTCTTACATCAAGCTTCATGCCTTCCTGGCCTACATTTTATTAGAATTCCGTAAACTCATTCAGCATTCTTCCCCCAATACCTAGCATCATCATGATCCTCTTCTAAGTATTATTGGAGAAAAATTAATCCTCTTTTGTCTTTTCCTTCACAAAACCCATTGAGTAGGAAGCCAGCTGAAAGATGATAAGAATAATAATAACAATTTATTGAGAACTTGGAGTCCCTGGGTAGTGCAAAAGATTAACATGCTCAGCTGCTAACCTAAAGTTTGGTGGCTCGAGTACAGCCTAGTGATATACTTCTGAAAAATCAGCCATTGAAATCCCTATGGAGCACAATTCTACTGACACACATGGGGTTGCCATGAGTCAGAACTGACTCAAAAGCAATTTTTGTTTTGTTTTAATTGAGGACTTACTATGTGCTAGGCAGAGTACTAAATTCCTTACATGTAATCTGTCATATGATATCTCACAACAGCCCCACAAGGTAAGTAATATATGCCCCATTTTTACAGGTGGGGAACAAGAGGCTAAGAGCTATTACTTAACTTACACACCCCATCACACCAGCAAAATTTAAAGTGGACTATAGCACACAAACAGCATTTGATAAGATGTCGTGTGGGCAAGAGGAGAGAAAGGATAGTTATTGTGGCTCAGAGTATTAAGAAAGATTTGTGAAGATTTTGACTTTGAACTGGACTCTGGTGGTTCCCAGAACTTTCCCATTATCCCTTGCCTGCCATGTTTTGCACATGCTGGCTTCTCTCTCTGGTGTGCCCCGCCCTCCACGTCCACCTTATATTTCTAAACTCTAAATCCTTGACTATCTTTTACAGAATTAACCTCTCCTCAGACAAATGAGCCTCTTTGCCTTTCATATGTCTACATATAGCTCATTCAGTTGTAATTAGTTTTTATATGGCTGCCCATACTCCAAGCCCAACTGTGATTCCGTGAGACAGGGGAACAATCCTTCATCTCCTTGCCCTATCGTCTAGTATAGTTCTTTGCATATAGTAGAATGATCACTGAGTTAGATAAAATAATAAAATGACAATTCAAACTTTTTATTGATTGCTTGGCATAGACAAGGCAAAATGGTACATACTTTGCATATATCATCTCATCTAATCTTCACCACCTCCCCATTTTACAGATGAAGAATCATGTTCAGAGAAATTAGGTAGCTTGCCCAAAAGAAACACAGAGAAGCAAGTATTTGGGGTAGAGAGAAGGATCCAGGGGGGAAAACTAAATTAGCAAATTATCCCAAAATTTGTTCCTATGCTAAAAAGCCTTTTGGATTATTTGTGCTTAGCGATCTCTCCACCTACCGCTTCCTACCTGCACTGAACTCTCAAGGTAGATCTTCTCTGTTATCTTATCATTCCCTCACCCATCAAGGCCCAAAGTTCCTAGCCTCACTTTATGAACTCTTTCTAGCATCCCAGAGGTCTTTTTAGTGTCCCCAGTGAATCTCCACTCTCAGCTGGGCCCCTAATAACAGGATAAATACTCTAGCTCTTTTGCTCACTCACACTCTAAACCCTGAAGGACCTGAGACTCCACTACCACTCTCTGACCTAGATGTGGTAAGCCTGTCTGTCTGTGTGCTCAACCCTACATAGGCACACTGTGAGCAGACCAAAGACCTGACCACCACACTAAGATAATTTTCTCACTGAGGTAGTCTCCCTGTCTTAGTCATCTAGTGCTGCTATAACAGAAATACCGCAAGTGGATGGCTTTAACAAAGAGAAGTTTACTTCTTCACAGTAGAGTAGGCTAAAAGTCCCAGGGGAAGTCTTTCTCTCTCTGTCAGCCTTCTTCTCATCCGTGTTTCCCCAGACTAGGAGCTTCTTGGCACGGGGACCCCAGGTCCAAAGGACTCGCTCTGCTCCTGGCACTGCTTTCTTGGTGATATGAGGTCCCCCTCTTCTCTCTGCTCACTTCTGTCTTTTATATCTCGAGAAATTGCCTCAGGACACAATCCAGTCTTATAGATTGAGTCCTGCCTCAACAACACAACTGCCACCCATCCTCCCTCATCAACGTCATAGAGGCAGAATTTACAACATATAAGAAAATCGCACAGTACCAGGAATCATGGCCCAGCCAGACTGACACACACATTTCTGGGGGGACATAATTCAATCCATGACACTCCCCTTCAGATAAAGGAGATTTAACAGGTAAATTATACTTTTTACCACTGCTGTGTGCCATATAATGTGATTGGCTCTTCAGATGAGTATCTTCCACGATAATCCCCATATGGAAGTTCCTTGATAGCCTATGAAGTAAGAAAAAACCTCTCCAGGTCACAGGTAAGAAATCAGGTTGAGAGAGGTTGAGTGACTTGATCGAGATCGCACAGCTGGTGAGTCATAGAGCTGGAATTTGAATTGGTTTGCCCTTGGTCTTACATTAATGAATGCTGACTTCTTGGCAGGTGGCTTCCAGCTGCTCATGAACACATACGGGGAAGTGATGAGGAACTTGTTCCTTTCCTTATGAGGCAGCCTTGTTCCTAGTATTTCAGCTCCTATTATTATATATTTTAGCTAAGATTTTTTTCTATACCAAATGCAAGGATGTTAAGTAGAATTATTCTCTGAGAGTTATCTGGAGAAGGCTGGGAGTCTTTCCTTGTCTGATCTCCTCCAAAGTTTGTATAGGTATAGATCCAGGAAGTCAGACCCTCAAAGTCCTCACTTCAACTTCTTTTCTGGATCCTGGGCATATTGTGCTCAATATGTGCTCTTCCAACTTCTGTTTTCCCATCAGTACAAATGGAGCTGGGGGAAAGGGATTTTATGGCCCCCAGATCAAGGAGGGAGTAAAAGTTTCTTGAGTGGCAGAAGGAGCTGAGGAAACCTGATTCAATTATGAAAATACAGGGGTGGAGGAAGACAAGAAGGAGGGGAAAGAAAGCATGGTTTTCCCATTAATGACCGCATTATTCAGCTCTCAATTCTCCATGCCAGAGGAAGGGCACTGAAGCCCATGCTTCCAAAAACATGACTCCAAAAACAATACTTAACTCCCCTCTGGGGAGATTTGAACCTGAGCTCCTCCCGAAACTCAGAGAGGAGTCTAGCACAGAAGGAAAAACAAGAGACAGAAAGTGGTGAAATGATTTGTTTCAATACCCCAGTGACAGCCAAAGTAGACATCCAGCCAGACATTCTGATCCAGAGTTCTTTCCCCATACCACATTAGAGTTGTTACTCTTTCCCTTCCTGCCTCTTTCCCGAAGACAGTTTCCTGTGATCTCTGGGTATGGGTACCTGATGCTAAGTTTTGCAAGGAGTACTCAGTTTAAGATAAGGAATAGAAATAGGCTATCTCCATAGGGTCCAATTGGTTCCACTATCTTTGTTCCAATTGGCAACAGTGTCAACATCTCATTAGAAGCCCTTGTAAGAAATGTACTTGTCTCTCTTTCTCTCTACTTTTATACCCTCCCCTATATCTGTTTCTGGTTCTTGTTCTTATCTTTCCTTTTTATATTTATCTCCTTTCCCTTTCCACTTTTTTGGTTTACTCTTCCCTTCTCTCCCAAATTCTCAGTTACTGATTGGCTAGTGGACTGGTGGCACAGTGGTAAAGAGCTTGGCTACTAACCAAAAGGTCAGCAGTTCAAATCCAGCAGCTGTTTCTTGGAAACTCTATGGGGCAGTTCTACTCTATCCTATAGGGCTGCTATGATTCGGAATCGACTTGATGGCAACAAGTTTTTTTACTGGACAAGAGACAAATGAGAAGGAATACATAGGTGCGGAAAGATTTGGGGAGATAGATTGTGTGGGTAATGGACAGAAGAGATGGGGTGGAGATATGCTTAGTACTGTCATTTGACAAATCTTGGTCTCTATATTTGCTTACAGGATATAATTCTGTGTTCCCAGTGACTAAAATTCACTCTTATCCCCTCTTTCTTACATACCTTTCATTTAATGAGAGCATAGGCTTTGAACACAATCATCTCTCAATGACTTTATCAGATCGCGTATCATGACTAGATCAGGCTGACCCCTCACTACTTGACTAAGTCTGCATGATTCCACCTGCTTCTACCAGCATCAATATAGGACACTTGAGACAAGTACAGAATCCTAGTACTAAATATAAGCCAAGCAATCTTATGATTGTTGCAGGCTGCAAGAGACTCAGCCCCTCACCATGTACTTGGCTCTTCCTTGTCATCATGAAAAATTCATCCAAGATCTCTCTTTCTTCCCCTCAGTTTTGATCTTCCCACATTTGAGTCTGATACCCAAAATGCCTGACTTTGATCATTACATTATCCTTATATTGTCACAAAGGCATATGAATCAGGAGAAAATAACACTAGAGTATAGGCAGAAGAGGGTTTAAAGGCAGAGAGAAGAAAGCTGCAAGGGTCTCTAGCCCCTCACCTTCACCATGGAGAGGATTCTGCAGCCATCACACATACACCCTGCCAGCCAATCTAGAGATCATTGAAATAGAATTGGCAAGGGCTTCTTTGAACCTGGGTGATGGTAACCCCACATCCTGCTTTGCATCATTTCCCAGTGCCCTACGATCTTCTCATCCTGGATGTTTTTCATGAGGTCTAACTCAAATATTTCCTTCTGCCATTTTAGTTTCTGTCACATCATGAGGATGAATCCCAGCTATTTCATTTTTCAGGGCCTCGCAGGGCTCAGAGCAAGGCAGTGAGATCTTCTCTGTCCACCCGGCCTTGGCCTAGCCATGAAACACACAAACCACAGCCATCAGAACCCAGCCTCCTTCCTGCTCATGGGAATTCCTGGCCTGGAGTCATCCTACTTTGGGATTGCATTTCCCTTCTGTGCCACATATGCCCTGGCAGTACTCGGCAACATGGCAGTGCTGCTGGTGGTGCACTCAGAGCCTGCACTGCACCAGCCTACGTACCTATTCCTATGCATGCTGTCCACCATTGACCTGGTGCTCTGCACCTCCACTGTGCCCAAGCTCCTAGCACTCTTTTGGGCAAATGCTGCCGAGATTGCCTTTTGGGGCTTGTGCTGCCCAGATGTTCTTTATCCATGGCTTCTCAACTGCAGAATCTGGCATCCTGCTAGCAATGGCCTTTGACCGCTACTTGGCCATCTGTCGGCCATTGCACTATGGGTCATTATCGCCCCAGGGACTGTGAGCAAGCTGGTGGCTGCTGCTATGCTTCGTGGCCTGGTGCTCATGACCCCACTCACCTGCTTACGGGCACAGTTGAGCTACTGTAGCCCAGTGGTGGCCCACTCCCTCTGTGAGCATATGGCAGTGGTAAAGCTGGTTTGTGGGGACACAAAGGCAAACAATATCTATGGCATCACTGCCGCCACACTGGTGGTGGGCACTGACTCCATCTGCATCGCTGTCTCCTACACATTCATCCTGCGGGTTGTGTTAGGCCTTTCCTCCAAGGAGGCAAGGGCCAAGACCTTTGGCACTTGTGGCTCCCACCTGGGTGTCATCCTGCTCTTCTACACACCGGGACTCTTCTCATTCTACACACAATGTTTTGGCCAACATGTGTCCCGGCATATCCACATCCTCCTGGCTGACCTCTACCTCATAGTGCCACCCATCCTTAACCCCATCATCTGTGGCATGAAGACCAAGCAGATCCGGAACGGGACCCTCCTACTGCTGAAATGGGGCCCTGCTCAGTCATAAAGTCTTCAATCCAGCCCTGGGACTCTACTCTCTCCTTCCTTCAGCCTTGGACATTGTTTGAGAGACCCGTGGCTTCCAACATGACTAGAAGACAAAAACCCACCCTCAATGGCATCCTTGCTTTTGCAAGGAGGTGTAGCACATGTCAGATAAGGGGAAAAAACCACCAAGTGATTCCTACTTGTGAGTTAGATATGGGTGCAACACTCAGGAAACCTCTGTCTAGTGGATAATATGGCTACCAGCCTGATGGTAGCCCCCCAGAGAATCCTACCCTGCTGTTCTGACATGCCTCCCGTCTTCCAGGAGACCTTAGTAAAATGAGAAAGATATAGCTACTGGTCTAATAAAATAACCTCTCATCCATAGGCAGGCATTCCTACTCTTATAGGGATACATACAGCACAGAGTTTAACTTCAGTGAGCACAGAGTCTAACTAGAACACACCCACAAAATAAGACAGAGACAGAGCACTAAGTTATGGGCCATAGAAACAACAACAAATGAAGAATCATGGCAAACTGTGCAAAGGAATAAGCAACAAAGTGTAAAGTCAGTCTGGGAAGGTTCTCTGGAAGATGAATTTTGATGTTTTCACTGAGCATGTACTGTTGGCCAGATATTTTGCTAAAATCTAGGCGTATGGATTTGATAAGGCCAAAAGTCCTCCTCTCAAGATGACCACTCACTGTTAGAGGCAGCAAACATATAAGGAGACAGTGGCCAAACAGTATTAAATTACTATGATTGGGGTAAGCACAGGAACTGCAGGTATAGAGTAAGGACACCTAACTTGTTCAGGAGAAATGAGGTCCCAGGGCCACCTTGTCCTGTCCCACCTCTGTAAGGATATGAAAAGCCACTTCCTCTCGGATTACCTAATCTGAAGCCATCTAAGTAATTCTTCCTCAACTCCAGGGCTCAGCACACATAAGATTAATAGGCTCAATTTTCTCAGCTTGCCAGACAATCCAAGGCCACAGATTGGCAAATAAAGTCTACTCCCCAAGATAAATTAACCCAAACTATAAAGGAAGTCAGGAAAACTTGCTGCAGCCCTATTTGAGACAATACTGGCTATGGTTTTAATTTTTTCCCAAATCACTTTTTTTTAATGAGGTATATAAAATAAAATGCACATATAATGTCTATTAAACGTACAAGGGGCCCTGGTAGCACAGTGCTGACCAAGAGGTTCGAACTCACCAGCAGCTCTGCAGGAGAAAAGACCTGGCAATCTGCTCCCATAAAGATTACAGCCTAAGAAACGCTATGGGACAGTTCTACTCTGTCCCGTAGTGTCTCTATGAGTTGTAATTGATGCAACAACACACAACAACAGTAAGTGCAAAGATTAATTATCTCTGACAAATGTATACTTCTGTATAACCACCACCTCAATCAAGATACAGAATATCTTTATAACCTCAGAAACTTCCCTGTGCCCCTTTCCACGCAATACTTCTGCTCCCCCACTGTTTGATTTTGATTACCTTGGATTAAATTTGCTGTTCTAGAAGTTCATACAATGAAATGATACAGAATGTATTCTTCTGTGTTCAACTTCTTTGGCCCAACGTAATGTTTTTAAGATTCATTCACGTTGTTGTGTGCATCAGTAAAATTTCAAAAAAAAATAATAATTCATCCCTTTTTATTGTTGAGTAGTATTCCATTGTATGAATATACCAAAGTTTGTTTAACCACTTACCTTTTGGACATCTGGGCTGTTTCCTACTTTTGTCTATTCTGAATAAAGCTGCTATGAATATTTTTTTAACCTAAACATAGAACTGCTGGATCACAGAGTAGATGTATGTTTAACTTTAATAGAATCTGCCAGAAAATTTTCCAAAGTACCATTCTGTACTCTCACCAATGCTGTATGACCATTCCCAGATTGTTCAATATCTTGATCAGCCCTTGATATAGTCATTCTTTTTTCATTTTAGCCATTCTAGTAAGCGTAAACTTACTCATTGTGATTTTAATTTGCATTTTTCTGATGATTAATGACATTGATCAACTTCTCATATGTTTACTGACCATGCATATACCTGCTTCTGTGAAATGTTTGTTCAAGTCTTTTGCCCATTTGTAACGTTTTCTAGGTTTTTTTAACAATTTGTATTAGCTGTTTATATATTCTGAATACAAGTCATTTGCTAGATATATGTAGTGAAAATATTTTATCCAATTTTTTAGCTTGCAGTTTGATCTTCTTACTAGTATCATTTGATAAAAAGAAATGTTTAGTTTTGATTAAGTCCAAATTATCAATTTTATTCATAATTAGTACTTTGTTTTATAGATTCAGCTTTTAATTTCAGGCCTTTGATCCAACACAAATAATAATTTTATATGGTATGAATAGACATCAAGGTTTATTGTCTTCTCATATAGGTATTCAGTTGTTTGAGCATTATTTTGTTTAAAAGTCATTCTTTTCTGAATTAAATTGCTTTGGCAACCTTGTCAAAAATCAGTCAACTCTTTATGTGTGGATGTATTCTGGATTCTCTTTTGTTTCACTAATCTATTTGTCTATCCTTATGCCAATACTACATTGTCTTCATAATTATAGTTTTATAGTAAGTCTCAAAATTAAGTATTGTAAGTCTGCCAACGCTGTACTATCCACAATGGTTAGGGCTATCCTAGGCTCTTTACATTCCCATATGAACTTTAGCTTCAATATGATAATTTCTAAAATAAATAGTACTAAGACTGGGTTTTGACTGCATGATTTTTATTTCTTTTTCTTGTCTTATTCCACTGGCTAAGACCTCCAACACAATGCTGAAGAGAAGTAGTAAGGCAGACATCCTTGCATTGCATCTGATCTTACAGGGAAAGCATTCAGTCTTTCATCAAGTATTATTTAACTGTAGGTTTTTCATAGATGCTTCTTATCAGGTTGAGAATGTACCCTTCTGTTCCTAGTTGTTGAAAGTTTTTACCCAAATGCTGTTGAATTTATTCAAATAATTTTTTTAAGTATACTTAGGTAGTCATATGATTTTTCTCCTTTATTCATTAATTCAGTGTATTATATTGACCTAACTTTTAAATGTTAAACTACCTTGCATTCCTGGTATAAACACCACTTTTTGTTGCTGTTGTTGTTAGGTGTCATTCAGTTGGTTCTGATTCATAGCGAGCCTATGTAAAATAGAATGAAAGCTTGCCTGGTCCTGTACCATCATCAACAATTGTTATGCTTGAGCCCATTGTTGCAGCCACTGTGTCAATCTATGTCCGTGAGGGTTTTTCTCTTTTTTGCTGACCCTCTACTTTACCAAGTATGATGTCCTTCTCCAGGGACTGGTCCCTCCTGATAACATGTCCAAAGTATGTGAGACAAAGTCTCGCCATCCTCACTTCTAAGGAGCATCCTGGTTGTACTTCTTCCAATACAGATTTATTGATGTTCTGGCAGCCTGTGATATATTCAATATTCTTCACCAACACCATAATTCAAAGGCATTATTCATTGTCCAGTTTTCACATTCATATGAGGCGATTGAAAATACCATGGTTTAGGTCAGGTGCACCTTAGTCCTTACAGTGACATCTTTGCTTCTTAACACTTAAAAGAGGTCTTTTGCAGCAAATTTGCCCAATGCAATGAGTCGTTTGATTTCTTGACTGCTGCTTCCATGGGCGTTAATTATGGATCCAAGTAAAATGAAATCCTTGACAACTTCAAGCTTTTCTCCATTTATCATGATGTTGCTTATTGGTCCAGTTGTGACGATTTTTGTTTTCTTTATGTTGAGGTATAATCCATACTGAAGGATATAGTCTTTGATCTTCCTCAGTAAATGCTTCAAGTCCTCTTCAGTTTTAGCAAGCAAGGTTGTGTCATCTGCATATCACAGGTTGTTAGTGAGTCTTCCTCCAAACCTGATGCCCAGTTCTGCTTCATATAGTCCAGCTTCTCACATTATTTGCTCAGCATACAGATTGAGTAAGTATGGTGAAAGGATACAACCCTGACACACACCTTTCCTTGACTTTAAACCATGCAATACCCCTTTGTTCTGTTCGAAAGACTGCCTCTTGGTCTATGTAGAGGTTCCTCATTAGCATAATACCACTTAGTCATTATATATTAACATATTTATATATTACTGGATTCACTTTGTTAATATTTTGATAAAGTTGTATGTATGTGTTCATGAAAGATATTGGTCTTGTGATTTTCTAGCTTGTAATTTCCTTATCAGGTTTGTATATTAGTATTTTGCTTGCCCCATAAGATATTGTGAAAACTATTCCCTTCTACTTCATTTTCTGAAAGTGTTCATGTAAAATTTGTTTTATTTACTCCTTAAAAATTTGATAGAATTCCCCAGGAAACACATCTGAGCTTGAAGTTTCCTTTGTGTTTTTTATTTCAAATTCCGTTTTTAATAGATATAGGTCTATTCAGATAATAAAGCCAGGGGTTTTATGGAACAGTGTGACCTTGAATAAAACTTCTGCATTTGCTACAAGCCGAACAGCACTTGCTGTTACCTGATACAAATTGTATGACAATGATAACAATATTAACGATAACAAATGAGAATCTACTGAGTTCGATAGCATTTACCATTTGCCAAGAATTCACTCTTTCATTTATTTGCTCATTCATTTAATGCATAAAGGGCCTATAATACTCTAGCCCTTGTGCTAAATGGTAGGGTTACACAAGTCAGGAAATACAGGTGTGGTTCCTGCCTTCACTGAGCTTGAAATACATAGGGCAAACAGGTATTAATCAAATAACCACACAAACAAACATAAAACTGGCACTTTGCTGCTGGATTAAGTACTTTATGTACATTGTCTAGTTGAAACCTCACAACATCTTTATGAGGAAGGTATTATCCTCACTTTATAATGATAAGGAAATGGAAATTCAGAAAGGTGAAGTGACCAAATAACCTGAGGCCACACCGCTGGTATGAGTCAGAGCTGAGAATTTAACTTAGGTGTTCTGCATGGGTAGGGGACAGGCTGATTAGCATAATGATTAAGAGTAGGGGCTTTGAATTTATGTACACAGACTTCCTTTTTTTTTTTTTTTTTGACTACTGATGCCAAATTCTAAAAGCCACTGTATATCACACTTTGATAATCTTTAACTGGGTAAACTAGTAGCAAAGCTTTTTAGAGGCCATTTCGGGACCCCTCCTTGTGCCAGGCTAAGCTACTTCAGTAGTTATTTGGCCTGTGAGGCATAGGAAGGCATAATGGGACATACTGAGATGTCTGCTCCCTGACAGTAAAGTTGTAGAGACATAGATCCCCAGATCCCTTCTAGTACTTGACTTCAGTGCAACCATGGAATGGCCAGCAGTAAGAATGGCCATGCTATGGTAACAGGTATCATGGAGGGAGGACTCCAAGGTCAGAACTGCTGAGACAAGGCAAGAATGATGAAGCCAAAGGATCTCTACAATCTTCAAATGTGTATCTTAAATCCAAGCTTTATTCTATTAATTCTCTGAATAGGAATTTTTCCAGCTCCAGGACTTTATATACAATGTTTGTTTGTTAGCTTGCTTCCTTGCTTATTTTTGACTTCCCAAGGCTGCTTGTGGTTCCAAATACTACCTCCTCATCCTAGGGTTTCTGATCAAGGGTGGTGAGACCCTCAGAGTAATGGATGTGCTAGCTCCCTGATCAGAATCTTCTTGTTATTGGGGTAGTGGATAAAGTAGACAGAGGGGACTGAATGATATGGTGCTTGATTAACCCAAGCCTTTTGAATAGTAAAAGCTATCTTTTGAAACTCCTTCATCTTCCAAAATTTATGATCAAACAGTTTTTGGATTTACTGAAACCAAACTATTTGAATTTACTGAAACCATTGGTTGGCAGCCTCTAGACATAATATTCTTAAAGGATATTTCTGATCACAGGACTTATTAGCCCCGCCTCTTGGGCTCTATGGACAGGATCTGGTCATCTTCAGATGCAGAGGATTGGCAATAACCTCCTATTTACTGGCAGACACAAGGTTCTGAGTTCCTTGGAATCCCATGCTTCAGTGCCCATGTAAATACAATCTAGTAGGGAAAACAACCTTTCTAATTAAAACCGCATGTACAGGACTCACCACTGCCCACTCTACCTTCTTGCCTTCAAGTTCCTCATCCTCTCTTGTGTCAGTTCATGGAAATGATACACAGAAACAACCTCAATTGTTGAATTCCCAATTGTCTGGATGTGCATACATATAGGCAAAGCACTTTTTAAGACCTCTAACATGGCTTGTTCTATTAAATCTGAGTATACTTTTCCACCAGGAATATCCCTATTCCAATTTTTCAAAAAATTTATGAATATTTTAGGATTTAGCAGAACAAAGGCAAAGCTAGTGATGGGGTGAGACATCCTTCAGTTTCTAGGTAAGTCTCCTCCTGGAAGTTGACAAGCAGCTTTAGAAAATGCTCCACAATAATCTTCCCTCTGAGCTTCACCATTGGGAACCATCTTCTTGACCATGAAGCACAGGGAGAATCATACCTTGTCCCAAGGCCTCTGACATCCATCTTTACTTCTTTCTGTTCTAGCCCATCAATTGCTTGTTATTGCCATATCCTCAGACATTCATATCTCCCAACCCTCTTTCTTCCCTGAGGGTCAGCTGACAAGAAACTTTTGTCCCTTCATCTTCCTTATTCAATTGTTCAACAATATGCATTGGACACCTACTGTATTGTAGGCACAGTGAACAAAACAGCCCCAGAATTCGTACCCTCATGGAACTTACATCCTAGTCGATTGCCTGCTTTGAAAGTGCTTCTCCCACTCAGAGATGAGTGGCTATTCCACCCTTACCATTGGTCCTTAAGAAACCAGTGCCATCCAAAAGTTATAGGGAGCAGTTTTCCTAGCCTTGGCAGGGCCAAACTTTAGCTCACAGCAGGGACACACAAAGAAAACCAAGAGGAAACTATCACTCCTTAGCTACAAATAAGTGCTTGATAAATTGAACATGTAGAGTATTGTTCTATGTATCTCTTCCTCCCTCTCCTCCCTCCCACTTTTCTACTTCTTGGGATATGACCTGATTAATCATAATTTGGGAGGAGAGGGCCAGTATAAATGTAAATATAGTTTATCACTTCTCTTCTTTAGGCTTAAAATCAAATGGGAAAACAAAAAATCAAATACGGAAAAACGAGATACACACACATCCTCTGTTAGTATGGTTAAATCCCCTGGGTAAGGGGATATCACAGTATATATGAATCTGAAATAGTTTGGCTCTAGTGAGATAGAGCAATGAGAGGATTAGCAAGGTGGTATTTTGATATCCTTTCAAAGTCTCAGTCTGTCCAAAAACTATAATTTTTTTTTTTGAGTTTTGGATTCTCAGTCTTCAAAAACTATAATTATAGAGACTAATAATGCCCCACAAAGGACTCAACAGTAAGGGTAAAATCATTCAGAAATCTCAAAAATTAACTCTTCACCACTACTTTCACTCCTTTACAAACCTCAAGGTACCACTGGTCCTTCTGCGGTTCTAAGAGACATCAACACTTTTCTGTTGGAAGTGCTTTAGGAGGCCCTGACGGATCTGCTTAGACTTGATACAGTAGACAATGGGGTTCATGAAAGGCGAGACCAAGAAGTGCAGATTGGCCATGAGCACTGCTAGAGCAGGACAGTTGTGCTTCTCTACCCGGTGCAATACAGACAGCGCCAGTTTGGGCAAATAAAAGACAAGGACAATGCAGAGATGTGAGACACACATGTTGAGTGCTTTTAGCCGTTCCCCAGATGATGCGATGCCCAGCACCGTCCATAGAATCAGTGCATATGAGAGCATGATAAGGGAGAAGTCAAGTCTTAGTGAGAAGAGGATGGAGATCAGGCCGGTTAGACTGTTGATCTGGGTGTCTGAGCAGGCTAGCCCCACAAGATGACAGTGCAGGCAGTAGCAGTGTGAGAGTACTCTGAGCTGGGGAAACAGCAGATGCTTCAGGAGGATGGGCCCTGGGAGGTTGAGCACAACAGTCCTAACTAGAATGGCGGCCCCCACTTTGGTCATGGTTGAGTGAGTAAGGATCATGGCATGGTGCAGAGGGTTCCGGATGGCAACAATGTGATCAAAGTCCATGACCAGCAGCACACCAGATTCCACATAGGTGAAGACATGAATGAAGAACATCTGTGCTGCACAGAGGTCGAAGGGCAGCTCACGAGCACTCAGCCAGAAGAGCCGCACCATGGTGGGGAAGGTAGAGGAACAGAGGTCCAGATCAGATGCTGCCAACGTGGACAGGAAGATGTACATGGGTTTGTGTAAGCCTGGGTCTGTGCAGATCAGGAAGAAGATGATACTGTTCCCCAGGATGGAAACAACACAGATCAAGTTGATGGGGATAGGCACCCAGTGATGAGAGGCCTCCAGGCCTGGAAAGCCAGTGAGGAGGAAGGTAGAGTGTGCAAAAGTGCTGGTGTTGCAAGAGAACATAGTGATTCCAGGAGGGAGTTGTCCACCCTAGGGATAAGAGACATTCATTCATTTGATCATCATTAATAAAGTTCCTACTAAGTGTAGCCTAAGGCACACTGGTGGCAGCACAGTTTTTAAAGGGCTCAGCTGCTAACTGAAAGGATTTTTTGTTTTGTTTTGTTTTTAGTGTAGGCGGTGAGGGAAGATCCATCCCATACCCTTTCTTAATCCATGAAAGAAACCTAATTCTTCTTAGAAGCTCTATTTCCTTCCACTTTCTGGCTAGTTAATCTTCTCTTTGAGTAAAGAGGTATTGAATAATTTTTCTACATTAATCTAATTGCTTATGGTTATTTTTTTTAGCCACAGAGATCTTTACTAAACAACTATCTTCTCTTTGGTCTAAGCAACCTCCTTTTTTCACATAAGCTACAGCTAAAAACCTACCTCCTCCAGAGTGTCTTCTCAGACTAAATAATGAAGAAAAGAAAGTAAATTTCTGCTGAAATTTAACAGCTTTTAGTGGATTCCTTATGATTTTCTGTATAAAATATCATATTATCTGTGATTAGACAACCTTTTACTTATTCCTTTCCAATCTGGAAACATTTATTTATTTTCCTAAGTGAACACCTTCATGTGACAAGCACCCAACTCAAGAAATAAAATACTGTCAGTGCCCCAGATACGCCCTTGTGACTCCTTCCAGTCACTCCTTCCTTTGAAGATAACCACTATCCTGACTTCCAGTGCCACAAATGAATTTTGCTTATTCTTGAACTTTATATAATTAGAGTCAGACACTATGAACATTATGTGTTTAGCTTCTTTTGCTCAACTTGATGTCTGTGAGATTCATCCATATTGCTGCATGCAGCTGTAGTTCATTTGCTCTCATCTCTGTGTAATTTTCCATTGCATGGCTCTACCTCCATACAGTTATCCATTCTACAAGTGGTAGACATTTGAATAGTTTCCAGTTTGGAACTAGTATGAATAGTGAGTGCTGCCATGAACATTCTACTATGTGTCTGTTGAGAACACATATGCATCTCTGTCAGGTATATATAGTCGATTCTCATCATTTGCAGTAGTTATGGTCCATGAAGTATCCACGAACACTGAATTAGTGAATACTGAATCATTTCTCTAAGGAGCCCTGGTGCTGCAGTGGTTAAGAGCTCAGCTGCTAACTGAAATGTCGGTGCTTCTAACCGACCAAACTACCAGCCACTCTGTGGGAGAAAGCTGTGGCAGTCTGCTTCCATAAAGATTACAGCCTTGGAAACCCTATGGGGCAGTTCTACTCTGTTCTATAGTGTCGCTAGGAGTCGAAATTGACTCAAAGGCAACGGGTTTGGTTTTTGGTTTGGGAACCATTTCTCTAAGGGAAACACAGTGTTAGGTTTCTGCGAGCCTCTGCTCACAACTCTTTTGTCAATCAGTATATAACCTTGGTTTATGTGTGTTTCTGTTTAAAGACACATTATTAAACATATACTGTGAATTTATTAACACCAACTAGTGGACAATAACACTATAAATCGTGCCTGAATGAAGCTCATCTAACACGGATGTCTTCTGTAAGGTCTTCTCTGTAGCCTCCTTGGACTTAGGAGCATTAGATAGCACTTCAGCACAATGTTTGCGGGCCATTTTAAACAGTGAAATCGCCTAAAACAGCACAAAAATATGAAAACCATGTCACTCAATGGACTGTGAAAAGGACACTTGTTTACAGTATGAGAGTTGAAACAAGAAGGCAAAGTGTTCAGCCTCAGCTGGGAACATGCACATTGGTTGATTCAACCTTTCTGCCACCCTGTGCATTGTTACAGAAGCATAATTAAAAACGATGTCTCCTGCTGACTCAGACTAACTCTTCACAAAAGTAGAAGATAGAGCAATTCTATCATTGAAGAAGCGTTAAACCAGAATGTGATGAACATCACAAGCAATTTACTGAAGAGATTGCAAAGACGGACAGGAATTTTATCCTTTTATACAGCCAAGAAAACGCAACCGGTATCATACATGTTCTCAGGATAAATGAGAACTATTCCTCTAGTGAGAAGACTTCAGCCTCATTTGTCATCCTAAAATTACCTGGTACTTGTGATAGACACCTGTGTTTGCTAATTGCCTTTATCCAAAGAAAAACATAATAAATTTATCATATCTTTATGACCAGAGATAGGTTTGCAACTTGGAGCAACATGTCAGTTGAAGTTAGACTCCTATCCTCCCAGGAAACCAGGAGATAAGGTTGCTATCTTCCTTGATTGAGTACATTTCCAAGAGATGACTTCCACTTCCTTGAGGAAACATTCCTGGGTTGTAAAATTGGCAAGAGGCTTATTTAGACTTTTAAAAGATTTACATATATTTCAAAGAGGCAGAGAAAGAACTTACACTTACAGGTCTTTCAAAGTAAA